TGACTTCTTATACTCTCACTTAGCGCTTTATTAGGAACGCCATACTGATACCGGCTCAGTTCTTCGTGCGTGGATTCCACCTGATGTTGGAGTCAATCCTTTGAGATCCTGAATCACATCATATCTGCGGATTTGTCAGCTGCACATTCATGCCACCAATCTGCTGTTCTACCAAATCCCAAAGGTGTTCTACTGGATTCAGGTCTGGTGACTGGGGAGGACACTGAAGTTCACTGAACTCACTGTCATGTTCATGAATGCAGTTTGAGACGACTTTCACTTTGTGACGTGATGTATTATCATGCTAGAAATAGCATTACAAGATGGTAAATTGTGGCCATTAAGGGATGCACATATGGCATTCAAATGGTAATGGATTGGTATTGAGGTGCCCAAAGTTTGCCAAGAAAACCCTCCCCACACTATCACACCTTCACCACCGGCTTGGACTGTTGACACAATGCATGTTGGGTCAATGGATTCATGATGTTCATGCCACATTGTTAATGTATCTGCCTGTTTAGCCCATCCGCCTCAGAGTTTGACGTGCTGTTCGTTCTGTGATGCTTTTCTGCTCGCCACAGTTACAAAGAGTGGTTATCTGAGTTACCGTAGTCTTTCTGTCAGCTCCAGCCAGTCTGGCCATTCTCCTCTGACCTCTGATCAACAAGGTTTTTTCTGTCCACAGAACTGCTGCTGACTGGATGTGTTTTGTTTTTCACACTATTCTGAGTAAAAACTCCAGAGACTGTTGTGTTGTGTGTGAAACTCCCAGGAGATCAGCAGGTTCAGAAATACTCAAAACCACGGTCACTGAGATCACAACCCCCCCCCCCCATTTTGATGTTTGATGTGAACATTAACTGAAGCTCCTGACCTGTATCTGCGTGATTGTATTCTTTTCACTGCTGCCACGTGATTAGCTGGCTGACACTGGGGTGAATGCTAGCTTGTGGTAGGCATACTCGCACGCACCTGTCACTCAAAGCGGCCACACCTTCAATTACGCAGAACTTCAAGCCTTAATAAAATGTAAACAGGTGAGTTAAATAAATATTCACCCACTGCACAGTTGTCATGAAGGAGGAAATAAGCTATAGAGACCAAACCCGTTTTTTGTACCAGGCTGTAAACACGTTTATTTCTGCTGTGAAGTTGGACATTTTAACTATGGAGTCAGACTCAAGTGGACATTCGAAGAACTGCAGTTTTTGGTGCTTGTGTGTTGGCTCATTTTTCAGCCTCAGAGGTTGCCGCTTGCTATAACAGTACCAGTTTGAAACTCTTCTTACATGAGTTTAGTTTGGGGAGTAGCCCACTTGTTGTCAATCATGCAGCTTTAATATTCCACTTTAAATAATGGAAAATTCGGAGTGCCTGTTTCACACAATTTTCCTGTGATTCAGAATAAATTTTAGCCCGTGTTTGAAGTTGCACTTCATGCTGTAGACTAGAATTAAAGTTATGTTGGTCTTGGCTTGACACACTGTCTTGTAATGATAGCATGTTATCCAGGAGAACCTTACCTAAGATATCTGCATGTGTAACCTGTAGAAATTAGCTTTCTAATGACTTGTTTTTCTACATTTAGGAGAAATTGTTTAAAAAAGAAAATACAAATGCCTGCATGCTTCCGTAATAGATGGAGGTAACCGTCGTGTCTCACTGTTTTATTGCAATATTATGGTCTGACGCGGGAGGCGCCGTTCTCCGCCAGGTGCGCCTCCCATCCATGCTGCACCTTCCCATCCCAGCGCTGCTGGCTCTGGCTGCTCTATTGCCTCTTCATCCGCCCTCAGCCCACTTCTTCTTCGCAGGGGGAGCTGACTTGATGCGTATAATAAATCATCTCCGCGAGATTCCTTTTCAAGCCCAGGTTCAGAGCTGCGTTTGTTGGATATGAGAGCGTAAACACAGGCGAGAGTCGAGCCTCTTAACTGGGGATGTTTCAAATGTGATTCAGCACAGCAAACAACGTGGGTGTTGTGTGCGTGTGTGTGTGCGCGCGCGCGCGTGTGTGTGATTGTGTGTGTGTGTGTGTGTATGTTTTTTTTTTTTTTTTTTTTTGGTGGGGAGTGGAGGAAAAGGAGGAGAGCAGCGATATGAAACGCGTGTGTTTATACCTCCTGCGTTACCCGTTATCGCTGACTGACCACCGGCTCAATTTCACCTGTATGAACGACCTTGCGATTGTGACCGAAATTTTCCTAACAAGGTTTCCATGGAGGATCAGTGTGGCGCTTTTTCCGTGAGGGCTGAATTCGGTTCCTGTTGGTCTCAAGATATTTCAAGATAAGAGGTAAGACAAAAATATATAGCCCATGCGCGCGCTTTGCATTTGTGAACGTGCATGGATACAGCTAGAGAGCTAAATTATTTACACAGTGATATTTATATGCTAAAATATGTATTCACTCTCACAGGCTCACATGTCGACCCGTCTTGCCTATTATCCCGAATTGGCCCATCATTTCCTAATATCATATATTTGATGTTTGTTTTAGGGCTGGGAGCAACGTGACGTGCTCTCCCAACTGCAGCCCATTCCTCCACACTGAGCAGTCTGATTTTTGGAGGGGCATGCATTCAGAAACGGACACTTTTTTTTTTTCTTTTTCTTTTTTTTTGATGTATCTGTGAAATAAGGAGTTGCTCAGCCGTGCCTCTCTGTGTTAAAGTGATATAGAGATGCAGTCACATGTGGTATTCTAGCCTCTAACTGCTCCTGTGGTTCCTACCTGGTGTGATGCGGAGCTTCACTTCACCTCACCCTTCTGAAATGTGTAGCCACATCACAGCAACACATTTTAGGGCTAAATCAGGCTGAACTTGCATGTATGGTGCTTGTCAAAACGAAACCGTATATATATATATATATATATATTCAGCTCTTATCAGAGACCCTCTTCCAAAGCTATTAAGAGGTAAAAAAAATATATATATATATCTTTAGTAAACCTTGATTTAAGTGTGCAGAGAAGGGTGCAGACACACACGGCCACAAACCATTTCTAACCTTCAACATTCACCTGATAATTGCATACTGGTATGTCAGCTGAAATGTCTGTGATGAATGCAGCTGGGGCCTTAAAAGTAAGTACACTCCCACTCTCCTAGCAGGGCTATTTGTTCAAACAGCATGTTACTTGGATGCAGGCAGAGTGTGATGGAGGTGGTAGATATAGTGATAATACATCATTTGTGTGTGTGTGTGTGTGTGTGTGTGTGTGTGTGTGTGTGCGCGTGTGTCAGTTAACCCAGTGGTGTTGGTACAGAAAAGGTACCCTCCTTGATTGAGAGTGATTCACCAAGTAAAGCTTTCTCACCACCTTCTATCACATCATCGTTAGCACCATTATCTATGCGTGCAAGCTGAGAATATGTGTGTGTGTGTGTGTGTGTGTGAGAGAGAGAGAGAAATCAGGTGGGTGCCTACGTGTGTGTTTGTGCGTGTGCATGACTGTCTTATACAGTATGTACATGTGATTCACTGAGTGATCTAGTAATATCACTGATAGGATCCTGTGACTGTGTATTTTGCAATTGTAAATGATTTATTAGATCTGCATATAAAAGAAAAATGAACACATGGCATCAGCTGTTACACAGTGCCATCCCTGACAAAACCCCATTACCGATGCAAACCATAACATGCAAAGTCGACAGCAGTTTAATACCCACTCTACCTTCCACACACCAATCCTCAGTCCTGAGGTGCTAGCGGTTTGCTCACTGTGGTCCTATCACTGAGGTATGGCATGCAGGACTCTTTTTGAGAGGAAGCGTACCAATCCAATTTTGCAGACTTTGGGGGGAGAAAAAGGACTGAGCAAACATGAAAGGTAGGGAAGAAAATCCTGGCTGAGACCCCACGTGTCTGATTTGACATCCAGGCAGCTGACAAACAATTAGACCCTCCATAAGTAGCGCTCTGAAGCAGGCTTGCCCTGGGATTAGACCACAAATGAGCCGCACATCATGGCTTATGTCTTCTAAATGGAAAGTGAATGTATGTATATTCGGAGGCAGGGTGTTATGTGTTGTGCACTGTGAGAAAGTGAGTTTGCTGGAGGTGTGTGTGGGTTGTGTGACATTTTCCAGATCGGTGTTATTATCTGCCTCTGCCCTTAATATATCTTGAACACCTCTTGAGGAAATTTGTGTGTGTGCAGAGCACCTAATCCACGTGCATGTCTTCATGCAGGTGACACCACTGTAAAACAGAAATGCATATACTCTGCACATGTGTAGATGTGTGTGTGTGACTGCTCACTGAACTGCCGTGTTATTGCCGGTTCACCATTGTGTGTATGTTTGACATTTGATAATTGCATCATTACTCGCTCAGTCTCCTCACGCAAGAAGTGGGTGCATCGCAATTTGCAACACATGCTACAAGCAGACACACACTTGCCCTTGATTATGGACCTGGGTGGAATGGCTTCCTCATCAGGCTGTCTTGATTCACCCCAGCATGTGGGGAGACACATGCTGCTGTGGATGAATCTAATTGATTGGATGGCACCCAATTCCCAGGTCCAAGTCTCCTCAGGCAGCCAGAGAGTGAATCCGTCCAAGTGAAGGATGAGCTTAGGCGTTGGTCGCTCCCCTAATAGATTGGCGTGGGCTTCCTCCCATATGCCTCTGGTATCACCCTCAGACATCTCTGGGTGCAAGTTGGCCGCAGCACAGGGCACAACGTGACACTGCCCGGATCTTCATTGATTAGAGATGTGAGAATGGATAGAAGACATGACACACGTCCCGCACCCAACTCCACATTTGTTTTCATCGTAATTATATTTCCCCTCTTGAAATTACACTTCCTCTGTCTGATAGGCAGAATATTGAAAGTGGGATAAAAGTTTTGGGGTTCACCGAGTTTGGTATTTTACAACAAAATTCTCGCTCCAACAGGTCAAGCTCCCCTCTCTCAGAGAACACGAGTGCCATTTCAAAGCTTATTGGATGAAAGTCTCATTTGCCCTTGGCTGCCAAAGATGACGTTGCTATGGAAACAGCTTCTACTATTATCAATCATCGACCGTCTGGCAGGTAAACCACCTTTTTATATGAGTAATGATTCTTTCACGTTTGGACATTTACACTTGCAGGATGGTAGCTGAAGAGCAGAAAATTATGTCAGTGTCAGGGATGATAGGATGGCCTGGGTTTAAAGGAACACTCCTCAGTATTGACTTCAATTCACAACACACACACAATACTCTCAGTCTTCCCCCTCACTCCCCTGTGGTTACAATCTGATAGAGAAACAACACAGCACAAAACACAGACTATCACTTGTTACTTAGAAAAATGCATTTGTTAATAATTTTCATCATAATGAAAAACTGATCCTCTAAATTCACAACAAATTAAAAATTATTTAGCATACAGTGTGCAACAGTTTAGCAAGGAATAATTAACAAATCATATTTTTTTTGCTCCTCTGTCACATGAAATTGGTTTTAATTAGTGGAAAAGCAAAGTTTCCACTTTCGCAGTGACAGAAATGGCGCCATGGTTCAGCTGTTGATTTTATTCATTTTTAGGAACTTGCGCTTTGCAGCACCACAAGATAATGCAAAATGTAATGTCCTGCCTGCCATTTTTAAAACGTGTCTGCCTGTTAGGCCCTTACTGTCCTGTTTCCTCCAGGGGAACAGGGAATTCTGGAGGCCTGAATCTGTCAAAAGTGGCACCTTTTCTCCGTCTTTACGCTCAGGCTGTTACTGTTTCTCTCGCAGACTGTCTGGACAGTGGATCATATCATGGTCCAAGATGGAGGATGGAGCCAGGTGACTTGTTCATTCCTGTCGACTCCATAGAGGAAGAAGCTACTCTGACCTGTGACGCTAAGGGGACACCACCTCCACAGTACAGGTACTTCAAAAATGAAGCATGTAGATAAGAATGTGACTTTTTATTTCGGTTAATATTTGAATGAAACAAGTGAAGATGTGGTTTACAAATTGAGAATCCCAAAATCTGTCTGGAAACTGGATAATAAAAATAACACATGCAACACCATCTTATTGCTGTTCTTCGAATGAACTTAGAGCCACATAATCAGCAGCTCAATGGCACCTTCTCCCTATTTTTCGCCTCTCTTTCATCACTGATAGCATTTGCGGAGCTGTTAATGTCACAAGAGTACCTTGTTTAATGTACTGTGATCAGTGCAGGAAATGTAACTTTTGGATGCACTGGGACATAAAATCTGTATGAAAAGCAGTTTAAAATTATCGGCTTTAAAAAAAAAAAAAAAAAAAAAAAAATGTCGACATTTCCCGGTGTAAATCTTGCATAACCAAAATATATATATAAAAAAAATATATATATTCTTCATATTGCTGTCGGCCTTACAGCTTCCCACTCATGCAAAGCCCATTTTAGTCATTTACAGTACTGTTAAAAAAAAAAAAAGATTTGTCCATTCCAAGATTTTATTTTTCATGTGGAGTAGCTTTCTCTCTCATTCATTTTCTCCAAATTAGAATGAAATGCATACAGAGACTCTAAGCAGCGGTGTCAGTATAGCTTTACTAATTCATATTGACCAACACGCTGCCAATCTGCCTCTTGTCTCGTCAGATAGTATCTCAGTGACACATGTGCAGCATCTTAATGATCGTCTCCTCTTTAGAATTAAAATGCCACGAGACCAATGCAGGTTGCTAGACACCAGTTGGCACCAACAGGCATTGATTACAAGTGTCTTTGGCGTTCAACGGTGGAATTACTGCCGCAGAGACGACACAGATGAGCTGAATGATAGTGGTGGGGAGTACTTACACTCATTATTTCAGGCTTTTCACATTCCCCGCCTAAGACCAGGTATTTCCATGTACTGATTAAAGGTGAGATGAGCATGTTTAATGTGGTGTCTTGTCAAACTGGCTGTGCTAGGCTCTGCATGCCCTCAGCACCTCTCTGGCTCCTCTCTTGAAGTGTAAATGGGCTCACACTGCTCCTACCCCCTTCTTCTCTTTTTTTCCCCTTTTCCCTTTCCTCTGCCAGTCCTGTCACTCACAGAGATATGAGACTTTCATAGTACACACACTGTAGCAGCATAATAACTCATGGGAGAAAAACCACATCTCATATGGAAAAGCATCTTCCTCACAGCGGGTCAGAAAAGTGATGCAGTGTGAGTTTTTTTTTTTTTTTTTTTTTCAAATCTAAAGGTGACTTATCTAACCTTTACTTGACCTGAGCTTTGGACTGCAGGATCATCTGGAATACTAGAGTTTCTCTGTGGTTAGACGGTCGGACAACATGTGTTCACAAAATGAGCCTCATGAAAAGTAATTCAATTTTCGTACTTGCTATTCAATCATCGCACCACTGAACAGCAGAGGCAGAGGCAGAGGTGAAAATGGTGGATAAAGAGCTGAATGTATGCGAGTGTGTACACAGGCACCTTAACATGTATCACTAGCACATCCAGCCGGTTAGATATTCATCATACAGAGAGTCTTTCAAACTTTATTGCCTGAAGAAGTAGAGTGATTTATCTCAAGGCATGCAGTGACACAGCTATCATGTATAATTGTCTAGAATGCAGCAGCAGGCACTCACTAACAGTCAATGGTTTGGATATGTTCTTTAAGAAATTATTTTGAAGGTTAGACTTGAAAGCCTTTGGAGGGTTGGCCATTATGGGCTCCACGTCTTTCATTTCCACTTAAGTAAGGCAGAATAGAAGAAGAATGTGACTGAAGGAAAGAAAATGTTATTTTTTTATGCTTTGAGAAAAATGATGAAACATTCTTGAAAAGTGCTCTGTCCTTGAACCCATCAATGCTCCATTTTTGAATAGCATTTAAAAAGAGATGGAGTGTTGTGGTGGCAGAGAATGAAAGTCTTTTCTCGCTGAATAATGGGACTTGTTTTAATCAATGAATTAACCTCATGTTTTCAAGAGTTCTTTTAGGTGCTTCATTTATTTGATAGCGCAATCTGAACCTGCTGTGCCAAGTATTATTTCTTCTTTTAAATTCCCACGCCTGCTAAGTGTGGGAAGGATGTAATGGAAGGTGAAAAGGAGTGTAAAAGGCATCCTTTGTTACATCAGCCCACTGTTACCTCTTGCCAAGTGCTAATGTTTTGTCCTAATGAGAAGTCAAAGGTGGAATAATGTCACATTATGAAAATATAATGTGACAGAGAAGAGGTGATTATGGTTAGACTGATGATAATATCTGGGATGGCTCCTAAAACCTTTATCTTCTGCTTCCCTTAAATAGCAGAGGACAGCTTTGTGTATGATACTCTAAGATTAAACTTTAATGATCCCTGTGGGGAAAATGGGATAGCTGCTGCAGCAAATAGAGTTAGAGTAAAATAAAGAAAAGTATAATAAAAACAGAAAAATACAATATAAAGAGAGAGAGATTTGCATTTTAAGGGTTATAGAAGGACCAATAAGACTAGAACGTGCAAGTTAAACAAATGGCGTAGACATTGCAGCATTATGGACTAGAGGATTATTAGAATATAGGGATGAAAAATATGCAAAAGTGTGAAAGGTAGAAGCATAAAATTACCAATAGCTTGCATTTCATGAATATGTCAGTTGATAAAAATGTACAATGTACACACATTTATGAGGGAAATCATAAGAAATCAAGTTACCCTGTATGACTTAAAGGTCCATATTTTACACTTTCCCTGTGTTTTATTTGAAGTGTTGATCCATAAGAAGATATATTTGTGGTTTTAAGAATCAAAAACCATCTCAATGTAGTTTTACATCTCCTTTTTCAGACTTTAGTAACAACAAGTTGGTGAGCCAATCAGAAGAGAGGCTCAGAGCCTCCTCTCTTCTGATTGGCTGACTGTTTTCTCAGTGAGGAAATAAAAAATATAGCAGATTTCAGGTGAACACTCAGAGAAACCAAATCCTGCAAGGTTGGATAGTGGGTCCAGGTGGGCGGTGCTTGGGGCATGGCTGAGAGCAGTGACTGCTTTGTTGTGACATCACAAAGTTACAGAAGTCCTGACGGCTGGTTTAAAGGTTCAGCTTCTGAATACAGGCTGTGTGCATTTTTCTGTGGACTGAGCGCTTTGATACTTTCACTGTGGTTTCCTCAACACCGGCACAGATACACATTATATCTCTCTAACTTCAAGTGAGTTACTACAGTGAGTCGTGTTCTCCACTCACCTCCTGTCAGACCACCTTGGTGGGTAGAAAGAACTGGAGGCTGCATATTGCCATGGACTGATGGTGTCTTTGCCCTCACAGATGGTCATTGAATGGGACTCACATAAATCTGGGCCTGGATCGCCGGCGGCGTCTGTCTGGGGGCAACCTCATTATAAGCAGTCTGGACCGCCAGCAGGATGTAGGGCTGTACCAGTGTATGGCCTACAACACTGTAGGAGCTATCCTCAGCAGGAGAGCAAGTCTGCAGTTTGCCTGTAAGTTACAGTCAGAGTTTGTCACTTTTTTTTCCTAAGAAATGGCATGAAAGTGTAAGTGCACTTAGCAAATAATGCAGACGCGCAGTAAAACCGACTGGGTGATATTTGCAATATTTATCAGGGTGCTGAAACATTGGTGTGAAGCTACATTAAATGTTAAAGTAACATGGGAGCAGTTGTTGTTTACTTTCGGTCATACATGCAACCTGAGACTGACTGCTTCACTTTTTGTTGCTTAGCTCCATCAGAAGTCATTGGTGTTTCTCAGGGTGTAATCTCGGGTAAAGTACTCAGCCAAATTGTGTAAGCAGTGTTTGAAGAATAACTTAATAAGGGCTGAAGCCTGAGCAAACATTTACTTTGACTGGAACATAATATGCCGACGCTGCAATGAAAAAGATAATAAGAGTAATGCAAATGAATAAAAGCTACTGTGCATTTATTAAAACTGCATTGCCACAAAAAAACTGTAAGTTATTCTGTATATAAACTGTGATTTTTTTCACATCACACATCTCTGGTGGTGAAACCAGTAAACACCTCATATGAATGAAGAGCTAAATACTTACTATTTATGTGCCATTCATTAAGGGCTCTTTTCATGCAGATAACAACAAAACATCTTTTCACACCTTTACTTGATGTACCAATGCAGGTATATTTGGTTTTGATGGACAAGCTTTTAAGATATGCACTGCTGAGATTTGTGGTGCTCAAAAATACTGACAAATGATATTTAAAAAAAAAAAAAAAAACTCAACAACAATAAGTCTCTGCAGGAATAATGCCCTGGTTACACTGGGTAATCTACAGACCGGGCTGATAAGAGTTAGAGATATTTTCATCTTCAAATGAAGAAAGTCCCCAATGATTGCAGAAGAGTCTGTGAATTACACTGAGTAACGGAGATAACCTGCGAGGCTTGATAGGCTTGTGAGTAAGTGGAAAATATCTATATATCTTGTATCCTGTCACGATTAACATGCACTGGAAACCACAAGTTTCCACCAAATGATATAATCAGTGTTAACAAGAAGTGTAGTTCATTTAGTTTTTCGTTTGTTATGTCTCAGCATTATTCGGATGTGATGTTATTGGATCATAATAAGCGATTGCCTCCTTTTTTTTTAAATTGACAACAGCTTAAGTTAGGACCCAAAACATTTGAGTTTATTGTAAGTAATGTAAAATGAATATGGTACACAACAGAGACAGAGCAGTCGCTTCGCACTGCTTTATTTGCGAGCTGCAAAGTAAACTGTCAGTTTGGCCATTTAATATGAGAGTATCTATGTCACCCTATGTTTGCATCATGTCATCTGTGAACTTTATTCTAAATGCTTTTCTAGTGGTTTCAACTCGTTGTGTTACTGAACCCATCATGCCATGCTCTTGCGGTTGCTCACATTTCACAGAGACGTGTCACAGGAGTCATCGTCTTCTTCCCATGTCATTTACATTTACATCTAATGTGTCATTTACATCCCGGGGTTGAAGTTTCTGATCCGTCTTTTGGTCCAGTATTTTACAAAAGCCCTTGAAACAAAGCTCTCCTCTGTCTCACCCGGTCTCACCCTGTCTCTCGCTCAGAGATTGTAGATGTGCTATTCCCATGACAGTTTCCTTATAGGCTTGTGTCAGAGTCTTGCTGAAAGCTTTTACTCAGCTCTGTTCCACTCTTGATATGTGAGATCCTGCGGTGATCACTCTTTTCATTTTTTTTTTTTTCTTCCCCCAGACTTAGATCATTTCAAAGTCCATACCAGAAGCGCGGTGTCAGTCCGAGAGGGACAAGGAGTGGTGTTACTTTGTGGAACGCCTACTTCCTCAGGAGGTAAACTCTCCGGCCTTCATCTTAACCTCCAACACCTCTCTTGTTTAAAGTTCTAGTGAGGTGTTTTGACAAGACGAAAGCGCAATCTTAGCCTTTTTATAATCGCTTGAATTCTCTCTATCGCCTATAATATCATATTGTATCAGTGATCTGCTTCTCTGCGTCCTGCTTTTGTCTTCCAGACCTTACTTATGCATGGGTCTTCAATGAGTACCCGTACTTTGTTCAGCAAGACAATCGGCGTTTCGTCTCCCAGCAGACGGGAAACCTTTACATCGCCAAGGTGGAGCCCTCCGATGTGGGTAACTACACTTGTGTGGTGATGAACAGCATCACAAAGGGCAAAGTTCACAGCTCACCTACGTCTTTGATCCTCAGGACAGATGGTAAGACGCAGCTTCTGGCTATGATGTGACAAGTGTGCCTTTCAGTCGTGTATTGAAGACCTTTCCTTTTAAGGCGGCTTTAATCATCATACTAGCATGAGTGCTCTTTGTCCTGTCGTGCCTCACTGTAGTTGAGTCATCGAGTGCTAATGCCTGTAAGTAAATAGTTGCCCCTCAATGTAGGCCAGCAAACAAAGCACCCAAATCTCTTCTTTGCTGACTTAGCTTTCTTATAATTCGCATTCCCTTTAAAAGCTTTCCCTGTGCTTTCACATGAATTCTCAGCAAGCCTGTTGTTCTATTCTCTGTTATCCTTTCATAGAAAGAGTGAATAAAGATTGCCTGTGGAATGAATTAAACATAAGCCATACGTCATTGGACCATTACATTGAGTGTTCTGGTGGCTCAACCAGTTAGTTCCCACTCAGTGTACTGTACATGTAGCTGCATAAATTTAGATCCCATCGCATCACTTTCTGATCCCGTCTTCCTTGAATACTGATATGTACAATGAAACAGCAGAGGTTGGGAACTGCCCACTCAAGCTTTGATATAATAGATAAACAGCCAGATGGATGGAAAAAAAAAAACAAAAAAAAACAACAACAAGATTTCACATATAGTCCGTCTATTCCACCAAGAAGAGATTTAAATTATTCCTTGCTGGTATTTCACTACACTCTGGTGGCTGCACACTTAAGTGATGTACTGCTTTGAGTTTACCCACGAGAGAATGTTTGCTCATGTGTCTTTTATTTCTCCTCTGTTAGTTTTACAGTGTTACTGTTTGGTCCATAATGCAAGCCATATTGCTTGTAAGTCATGCATAATGGAAGACTGAGCAAGTACTTGTGCTTACTCTACATAGGAGTGATGGGTGAATACGAGCCGAAAATAGAAGTTAATTTCCCAGACAATGTACCCGCCGCAAAAGGATCAACAGTTACGCTGGAGTGTTTCGCCCTTGGGAAGTAAGCTGGATTCCTTGAAGCATGTTTTTAATCTTCTGCTGTCTTTCATTCCAGACAAGGAACCCCCGGATTTCTATATAGTAAAGTTACTGTGGCAATTATATTTCTTAGAGTGTGGCACCGAGCGATGATTGGTCTGAAAGCCATGTGAGACGGCTCTTTTTGTTGTTGGATTGGGTTAACTCCGAACCATTCATCTGCAAAAAAAAATACAGTGAATTGGCTTCAAGCTCCATCAGACACTTTATTGCAGGATTATAACAGACACCTGCAACCTGTGCGACAGTGTTAGAAGTTCAAAGTGACTTGGATCAGAATCTCAGCTTCTCGGGTTTACCCGCTCTGTCTGTTCCAGCCCGGTCCCGGAGATCACCTGGAAGAGAGCTAACGGCGTTCCCTTCCCCAGCAAAGTCAAAATGAAGTACTCGAAAGCCGTGCTGGAGCTCCCCAGCTTCCAGCAGGACGACACGGGAGGGTACGAGTGCGTGGCTGAGAACAAGATGGGGAAGAACACGGCCGCCGGTCGACTGGCCTTCTATGGTACTTTTGTTTCTAACGACGACGCAAAAGAATTACAGATTGTAAAAATGATTAATAATTGTGTAAAATATTTGCATTAGACAAAAGTTCCATCCCTCCTCTTCTGGATCTCATGCTTCTGCTGTGACATTAAGAATTGCTCAGTGTAAGGTTAAGAATCGTAATTAGGTAATTTGATAATTCACATCATTTGAACAGCTACGTGTTACAGTATATACGTAGCCGGAAAATGTCATTACCTTCTTCCCGTGTAATAAGCTGTGTGGGTTTTAATTTTCCTGCGGTTATCACATTCTGGGCTCTTGGCTGGTTTCAGCTGCTGTGTTTTCTGTGAATCTGTGAGAGAGGGAAAATGACACTTGTGAAATTGAACCTGATGGTATGTTGAGTTCCTGCGAAGTGAGCTGCGTTTATTATGAGCACGACTCTCCAGCCCTAAAAATTCCCGAAAAGCTGTCAATGTGCAAGAGGTAAAGATAGAAGGAGATGTGTTGCCTGATGGGAAATTGACAGGGGTGATGTTTATTTATACACAGGAGAATGAAGGTGACAGGTTGGGGTCAGCGGTGACGTCGGGGGTGCACTTCGTTCACCGCCACCACGAGAGATTCCTGCTGCTGTGTGGTGCAGTGTTTTGTGCTAATCTGTAGTAACCGGAGGCTGCTGACACATTTCAGTGATGAAAATGAGTGATACCCTACATTCACTCTTCTTTAAAGACGAACACATCCGTCTAACGCTTTCTGATTTTCACTGATTTGAGCTGTCAAAATTTAATGAGATAATTATGCTCCCCTGAAAAATCTGCCCTCCTGGTTCGTGTCAGATATTTCACTGGAGGATATTTCTGTGTCCTCAGCCAAGCCTCAGTGGATCCAGACCATGAAGGACACGGCCCTGGCCATAGAGGAGAGGCTGTACTGGGAGTGTCGAGCCAATGGCAAGCCCAAACCCTCCTACACGTGGCTGAAGAACGGCCAGCCGCTCCTCTCAGAGGTAAATTACTGCCTGTCTTCCGCCACCTACCAATGTTTCATTTTAAAGACTTAATCTTCAGCTTCGGGTTCATCCTTTCATTTTTAGCGAGCCTGGCGTCAGACACATTGCTGTTTTTTCCAAGTGCAATTCAGAGTGAGATGAGGAGAGAGTGTAAACATCTTGCCGAGGTGCGCCAGTGATGAGACATGGATGTAACTGTCTCTTATTCTGCTCCACCTTGGCAGATTACACAGTTTTAGAGAGTGGATCAGTGTAGTCCCCAGGAGATTGCTCCATTTCATCTGAATGAAGTCAGTGGTTGCTTTTCATTATTCATGGTGCATGTTTAAGCTCCTCCAGATTTATGGACAATGGGCTTAATCTACTGTGGAATACACTGTATATGGCAGCGCACCTTACTCAGGACCACCACAAACACATGCAGTCGTGTGTATTTTAAACATGGCTGACTGTAACATGCTGCGGAGAGTTATTTTCTCAGCAGCAGTGTAATAATGCTCAGAGCGAGAAATACTTCTTTTAAATTAGAATGCAAATATAACCTGTCTGATTTTATTATTAAAAAAGACATTTTTAAATGTCATTCTTTAATTTGATTTTAATAATATGTTCTCTGTTGAAAGGTTCAGAACGTGATTAACATTCTTGCCATTAAAAGGATGGTATTGTGGTTTCGGTTTCAGATATACAATATATGGCTTATGGAAAGAATACGGTTATGTAGATGTATATACTTAAATTAAAATGATATTGAGAATGAATGTGAGACCTTAATCCTTTATGATGTGTTTATATTTATATCTATATCTGGATGGATTTATGGCATTATATACGGCTTCAAAAACCTAAAATAGAAAGTTTTCAAAAATCTTTACATTTTACACCTCAAACAAAATCTATCATGGATCAGGAGCCTTAGTTTAGCCACTCAGACACAAACAGAAAACTATAAAGACTAGTTAACATGATGGTGAGAGCCAGGACGGCTGTATTTGGAAAACAAAAATGCATTTTGTGCTCTGACTGTTTCATTCGCTGCAACATAATCCTGATTTGATCTATGCCTATTGACAATGCCTCTAACCCAATCCAATGCTTATTGAGCTTTGCCAAAGCACGCTGAGTAAAGCAAAAGCTACCTTTAAGCAATAATTGCTTTCTTTCATCCTTTTCTTCACAGGACAGGGTCCATGTGGAGGATGGAGTCCTGTCGGTGTCAGCGCTGACACTATCTGATGCCGGCATGTACCAATGCGTGGCTGAGAATAAACACGGCGTCATATATTTTGCTGCTGAACTAATGGTTTTAGGTAGGATGGCATTTATCTCTCCCTTAAGTCCTCAAATCATTGTTGCCAAAGACTCTTAAAGGTCATCTTACTGTCATTCTTAAAGGTTGTCTGGATTAACAGATAATGGGGTCAGCGAGAATGGTTTTGTGGGGTCAAACGCATTTAAAAAATATTTTTCCCTTCATGATATCATGATTTACCTTGATGTTATGGTGAGGATGGGCTGATAGATAGAGGTAGAATTCCCAGTTGAACAATAAACATAGTCTTTTACAGTAAAACCAATTAAAAGTTATATTATTTAATCCATTTAATAGATAGAAAATGGAGTAGAAATTTTCACACCAGTGATTTGATTTTATATCTATTTAATTCCCATTGCAGATGTTTAAAATGTCTGTCTCCATTACTTTACGATTTGATTCTCCCAGATCAAACTGAAGCTCGCCCTGTGAGATTTGCTGCAGTCTTGTACTAAAGTCAGTTTACTGTTTCCCATCAGCCTCTCCTCCAGACTTCACAGGGAACGTCCTCAGAGCTTTGCTCAAAGCCAAGGCAGGAACTACAGTGACTTTGGAGTGTAAACCCCAGGCCTATCCCATCGCCAGCATTTTATGGAAGAAAGGAAACCTGCCTGTCCACACCAATGACAGGTAATGACTGAACTAAAAAGCAGCTGCAGGTGTCCTGGGAGTTGCAAAAAGCTGATGGCTGCTCAAAATACTGATGTTAGTGAACGCACATAAACAAATCAGCATTTTTTTTCTGTGGAGATGATATCAGAGCAGGTGCATTGTTTATCCCAACTGAGCTCCTTTCATGCTTCATTTGGTCTAATAGATCAATATTCACTGCACATGCACACGTTGCTTAACTGCTAGATTTCCATGATCATGCAGGACACTCACATGAAGACAGTTCCAGAATCAGAGTCTAGCTAATGAGAAAGTGCTTCTTTGTTTTTAGACGCTGGATTGTGAACTGCTGTCTTTGTTTGTACACTCCTATAGGATCACACTTTCCCCAGATGGAACGCTGAGGCTCGCCAACGTGAGCAAGTCCGATGCAGGCAGCTACACGTGCTTCGCTAGGAATAGATTTGGCATGTCGAGTACAACAGGAAGGCTCCTTGTTACCGGTAAGCTCCACTATTAAACAGCAGAATGTTTGTTTGTCCCACTTAGTAAGCTGAATTTATTGCTCAGTATGGAATAACACCAGCGAGAGCTGCTGTGCCGCGAGGACTTGAGTCAATAACTGGGGGCTAGAAAACATAAACAGAGTTTATGTTTCACTCTGATAAGTGTGTCAAACATGGAGTTTTTGGATAATTAAGTAACAGCATTAAATGCTTTCAGATGACATTTCTAATGTCCTTTTTGTTGATTTATTTATTTGAGGGTGTGTCTTGGTGACCAAAGCTCCCCTGCAGTGTGAAACAACAAACTCTTGTCTTTCAGGTTAGCTTTATATTGAGTTGTTTTGTCCGGCTGCATTTTGCAGCAGCTGCAATAATGCACTTGGAAAGTGTTTGAGAAAATACTCGATCATTGTTTTCCTCAAAGCAGTTGAAACAACCAATTTACTGCAACAAATGAAAGTGCTCTGAGTGGAAGCAATGAAAGCATTAGTGAGGAGGTGTTACAGATGCTGTTATTGTATTGAGCTGCGTGTTTTCTAGTGGAGTGATCGTTGAGTGTTCTCCGGGATTCTTATACTGTAGGTTTTATTAATGTGTTTAGTGCCGTTGTTTCCCGCTATATCTGCTACACACCGTTTTTTTATTTTTTTTAAATCACTGGAGTATTTTTCGAGGTCGTGATGCAGTCGGCGACACAAAGCCCTGACCCAGACACAGCTTATTAACAGCTTAAGAACACTTTTTACATGTCAATTTTTACTCCTTGACAGTCAATATAAGGTAAGAAGTGAGAGCACAAATCCTTCTTCTTTATTTGATTTCCAGCAGATTCATTATCTTGCGTTTTGAAGCACAGCAGACTTAGTCAAATGATTGCTATAGTAGGCTTTGAAGCAGCGCCCCTCTTTTTTGTTCTGGATGCACAGAGGAGCCCATTACATGAAGTTTTATCTGATCCACAGTGTATTGTAATTGCTATCAGGATTTCATAAGATTATTCTAGCTGTGTCAGCCTGGAGTATTAGGCCATATTAGTGGTGGCAGGCTGTATGTTATCACATTATTCCACTAAGACTTTCATGAGACCTTCCTTTATATAGATAACACAGCACTGCCTTTGACTTAGTGCATTACAGAACATGTTCTTGTGTTCCAGCAAGTATCGTGTCACTTTTGTGCTTCTATTTCAGAAAAATCAGGAAAGGACTGCTGCTGCTCTCTGTGAGTCTGGCAGCCGCTCTGTCAGAAATGACTCCATCTCACACTTTGTATTTTTTTTTTTTTTTTTTCTCAGATCCAACCAGAATCATCCAGGGGCCAGTGGACATGGAGATCATTGTGGGCGAGAGCATCGTGTTACCGTGTCAGGTCACCAGCGATCCCGTCCTTGACGTTTCTTTCTCCTGGGCCTTCAACGGACAGCTCATCGCCAAGGGAGACGGTCACTTTGAGCTAGTGGGTGGGGTGAGTGACCCGCAGTCATTCTTCTTCAGAACGTGCAAATGGGCAGCTGGCACTTCTTCCCATCTTGCTTCATTTCATCCCTGCCAATAGTTCAAAAGGACAGCTTGTGGTTCGACATCATGGTATTTCTTGGAGAGATTTACAGTGGCTAGTGCACCGGAGTTGGTGTGATACCGTCCTTTTCACGGTTCTAAAAAGTCTCCTTGGAGGCATAATAAGCTGTGGGAATCTGTGGAGGGAAGTGCTATTAGATCATTCAGTCCCTCTAAGCCTCCAATTGTACTTTTCTGAATGGAAACATGGCGGCTGCTGTGTCAAAATACACCTCCTACATAAAAATCATCATGTAGGTAATGTGTTATTTGCTCTGCCATTGTGACAGGTTGTCATCTGTCTGAGTACACTTCTCCTACTCCAGCTCAGCCTTCTGTAATCTATTTTCTAATACTTGGGCTGGTCTTGAATTCTTTTCAAATCCCACTTTGACATAGCCTGCTGCACTGCTCCTCGTAACAGAAAGGGGATACACATCATTAGAGGTGTCTTTTAAAGGAATGAAAGCATGGCAGAGCCCCAAATGACAAAACACTTTCAGAACACCCTCACACCCTTTGAGATTAACCATTCTTCCTGTGTGTGTTTGACTGACAATGTTCTTATCTGAAAAGAGACTCCTTCCCCAGAAATGCTAGAATGTCCCCAGTCCAAAGAGATTATCAACTTAACTTTGCTGCTTCAAGGAATTTAATTTCCATAATTAAACCGCGTTGGCTCTACTGCCGCGTTTCCCTGCCAATGCCAAGAGAACAATTTCACCACTAATTTTCCATTTGCTGCTTACGGGTGTCCTCTCAGATGAGAATCTAGAGGGCCTTTTTTTTTTTTTTTTACTTCTCCAATCAAGCAAAAACCGCAGTCTGAACTCAGTTGTAATAGCATATTTGTGTAGTTCCCTGCAACAGGTCTTGAAGGTCATGGTGGTGACCTCTGCAAAATTCAAGTAAAATCGCAGAGGCCTTGTTAGACACAAAGACTCCATTTGCTGAATACAGCTTTTGTGAATTCTAGCCTTGTTCCTTTTCATCTGAGCTCATCTCGAACAGCTGCTTGTGACACAAAGGTTTATTCTTATTCAGAATTTTTTTTTTTGAACTGTTTTGCTTTTATGGCTTTGACTGCAAGAGGGGGGTGGGGTGGGGTAGGGGGGTGGGGGTCAAGAGATGTGTTTAAAATATCTTTTTAAAAACAGGCTTGATTTTCCTCTGCAAAGTCCCAGCTAATGTGTTTCTGGCACCACTATTTACTGCACCTTATGTATGCTTCACTACATTCTTTAATAAGCTGTCACAAGGTCTGTTATCTTTCATGCTACATAAAGCTTTCTTTTCTCTTCGGTAGAGAACAGCAGGAGATCTGATGATAAGGAACATTCAGCTTTACCATGCCGGCAAATATATCTGTGTGGTGGACACGGACGTGGAGAGCCTGTCAGCTGTGGCTGTATTGATTGTGAAAGGTAAGAAACCTCCTTTCTGCTCTGCAGGCACTAATTAAAACAGGGCTTACAGCCAGGGTTGTTGTTGAAGCTTCCTCTTTTAAAATGGGAGAATTTAAAAATGCAGACTTAACTATATAGTGGGTGATACATTTAACCACAAAAACAACAGTGAATTAAATTTTGTCTGTAGTCTGGAAGGGTTACCAAATAAAGCTGTGTTAGAGATGTACTCGCAGACATAATATGGATATGCTTTACTGAGAATAAAAGGAATGCTGACTTTCGGGGCGTATAATGTTCACTTAGGCTTTTAAACTGAAATGGCTTTTGTTTCAGCCGGTGATTGCAGTGCGACCGAAAGGCCCGTATCCTCATGAAAATCTTCCTGGAAATCATCAGAATCCACAGTTTTTATGTCTTGCTTATTTCTAGTGGAAGTCGCTTGATTACATCAAATAGAGGAAGCTTGCTTGTCTTTTATATTGCATCCAGGGAGTGAAGAAGTTGATAAGACTGTGGGAAATAACAGGAATATCGGCTTTGATTTTTTTTTTTCTCTCTCTCTCTTTTTCATGTCCAATTTTCAGTGTTGCTGCAATGAACTTGACAGTGGGATGTTTAGACGCCTGTCGCTGTTCACTCATGCAGTATGTATAGCTCCGGAGAGACGCAGTTGTAGAGAGCTACGTCGTGCAGAACAAAATAGAACAACTTTTGCTATATGTTTGAGGGAGTGGCAGCTTCGTCTTTGTGTGCAGAGCGAGAGGAGGGATGTTTCTGGCTTTGATCAATACACCAAATAACCCAGCAAATTGACACTACGCAAATATGTTAAATGTCAGACGAGGTGAGGGATGATTTCTGTGTCAGGATTTGAAAAGGTTGGATCCATATCTTTGTCTTGTAAGGATACCCACCAGTGATTCAGCTTGGCATGTTGAAGATCTCCTAGGCAAATGGCATTAATGGTAAGTGCTCCTTTCCAAATGGCTGAGGACTAAGTGGAAATAAGCCTGTTTCTCAAGTAGCGGCAATATCAAGGCCCTGGAAATGGATTGCCCTAGTATTGACTGGAGAGAAACTTGTCTGTGACTCAGATTGTGCATTATTTACACTCCCTGCTCACGGCAGCTGTCATGGATGTCTCATTGCTTGGATCGAATGGCTTCAAATGTTGGGCGGCAAAGCATGAAGCTGAACAGAAACCCAGTCATGGAGGGGAAAGTAATCCTTTGCTTGATCGCTACTGCAGACCTCTAAACAACGGACAGTGGTCACATGTCGATTAGTATATTGTTTTCCGTTCTAGCAGCCGGGCAGTCGGCATTCCTTTACCTTTATACCCATGACTCATAAAGGACACAGGTTAACACTTTGAAACAATGTGCAGCACTATACCAAGCACCCAACATACAAGCTCTCTTCTCACCAACCTACAGAGTAGAGTTATGGTTTTATTTGTCCAGGTTGTGCCCAGGAAATACTCAGTTCCTTTGATTAAGTAAAAGTCTTAAAACAATGTAAGTAGAAACATTATTGTATATGTCATTATTAGGATTGTGAAATCATTCATGGATCAGAAAAGAATGTTAAAAAAAAAAAAGACTTCTGCTACACAGATTTAGATTTTTTTTTAAATCTTTTTCTTTGTAATCTTTCCTTTTGTAAAAAAAAATATTGGATAATTTTACCTTTTATAATTTAATTTTAATGATGTATTTTATTAGATATGTCTTCATATTTGTAACATCAGGTCTTTATTTGTGAAGTAACTGTCAGATGAATGTATTTTCCTCTTAACTGCAGTGAAATAGAAGTAACAATTGGATAAATTGGAAATATTTAAGTAAAGTACAAATTGTACTAAGACACAGTTACTCTCCACCACTGACAGTGGCACATCTTTTCAGAAAAAGTGTCCCTGTCTCCGGCTGGATAACTGACAGAACATGCTGTTTTCATCTGAACTACTTCCTACCAGCTGTCCCGTCTTGTGTGGATTATCCAAAGAAATGGTGACAGTGAATCTGGAAAGAGATGTTACTGTTGAATTATTTTAAAATGTCATTCTTCAAAGCTGGTAGAACCACCGACAAAATTTCCATCCACCCACGTTTTTTTTTTTTTTTTGAGGTGGAGAAATCTCTGACATTGATAGCTATAAAACCTGGACAAATGAAACAAAAACTGTCTGTATGACTGTAAACTGCTACATCCTGCGAGAGGCAGGTGAGGAAACATTTAAACAGAATCCAGTGGCTGCATTCACTTGTGCTCAAAAAAATTGCAATTTTAATGTTATGGCAACAGTGTGAATAATGCAGGACTCATTTAACTGTGAAAGTGCTTACGTCAGCGTGATGCTTTCAGCTGCAGCGAGTGTGATTGCAGGACATTTAAGAGCGCAGCAACAGCAACTATTAGTGTTATTGGTCATAGACACATTATTGCAATCATGTAATATTAACCACTGATAGTAACTCAGTAATTCTGCTAGGTGCTATTTCCGATGTTTCCGGTTAAGCGCCGCTCTTCTGCAGCACTGAAGGTCAATGATAATCGCTCCTGACACAAAGACTCTTGAGTGATCAATCTGGGTTCTTGTTTTTTTTTTTTTTTTACAACGGCAGTGGAGAATGTTTTGGATGCCACTCCATGATGTCTCACAAACACTCCGCAGCGTGGTGCTGGTTATAGAGAAGGTCACGTTATACGAATAACATGGTGGTTATTAGCATTCAAACCACTTGATGAGCACTCATGCTTGTTTGACAGTTGCATCATCATCGTCAACCTGGAAGACGGTGGGAAGAGAAATGCACCTCACAACTGCCAACACAACACTGTACAACCATGTGTTTCATTATCATCACTTACATAACATACTCTTGTTTAGATTCATGTCTGACGTGTGTGACTGCGTATTTGACAAATTTGGATAATATTCAGTTCAGATCAAAATAATAAGACTGTGTCTGTAAGTATACAGACATAGTGCAGCCAGATATTAATTTGCTCTGTGCCAGGTTCACAATAAAAGCTCAGACAGTCTGTCCATATTAATAACAGATTATTTGAACACCCTCAAGACACTCACAGCACCCTCTTGCCTCCCTCAGCCAATGAAATATAATTAAGAGGATAAGGAATTGATCCTTGATTGTGTGCTCCATTAATATGTATTAATGAGGCCAGTGTATTAAAGGTTTTTTCTTTTTTTTTTTTTTTATCAAGAGCCGCTAATGAGTTTTACAAAGATCAATATCTCTAAAGCCAGGGCTTTAAGGCCAAATGTATACGGGCAGCACATTCAAGACTTCTGTAAACAAAAACCGTAGCTCAGCAGCTCCTTGTTCAGCATGTGCCTATTTACACATATAGTGTAGCAGGTACGTACCGCATGAACCATAAATACAAAATCAGGTTTTTTTGTGTGTGTGTTTCCAGCGCATTGATTGTTTGTTGTTTATTAATAATTAGAATATTTTCCTTCAGATTGGAAACCTCTTCAGAGCCGGTGCAGAGCTGGGGGTGTTATTATTCTGCGGTCTGTCTCACAGCTCTCTTGTGGTCTATTATTTCTGATGAGCTGACACGTTCATTAGAACAGGAAACAGTAGATGAGGCTAAAGTAAAACATCACACCGCTTAATTGGTGGGATAATGAAAATAAATGATAAAATTCTGGTTTTTCTTCAGGGCTATGAGGTCCTTTTTCATATTTTACCTTTTAATTCGACTCCCTGCGTCTCCTTACGTCTGCTGTTTCGTCGATCACATACCAGGAGGACCATGGAAGGGAAGGCTTACAAGTTGGATAAATCTTGAATTTACTTTTCATTCTGTGTGAAGGGCATTATTTCACCTCAAACTCAAAGCTTTTTAGAGATGTTCCTCTTGTGCTTTTGCTGTTGATTTCAAACAATAAATGCTTTGAACTAAGCACAACAAGCTGCAGTAGTAATATGGTTTAGGTGGATGCGTTTATGCAGACGCATAGACTGTTCCAAGTTTTCATTCCAGTATGCATTAACATCAACACTGTGTAGTTTCGTCCGTGCCTCTGCATGTACCTCACAGTGTCTGTCCCTGTGATTGAGCCAGGCCCCCCCAGCCCACCAGACTCCGTGACGGTGGAGGAGGTGACAGACAGTACAGCCCAGCTGACCTGGAGCCCCGGCAGAGACAACGGCAGCCCCATCACCAATTACCTCATCCAGACCAGAACTCCCTTCACTGTGGGCTGGCAGAGGGTTAACACAGGTAGGCAGCACTGGGAGATGAATTTTCATCTTATAGCACGTGTGATTAACCTGACGCGACAGATGGTTTGTTACACAGAACCATCTGGGAAACTGTTTGGAAACTGTTTGGAAAAGGGCAAATACTTGGCAGGCGATTGGACGACCCATCTGTCTATCATTTGACGTAGAAGGAGAGTGTTGACAAAGAAGTACAACACAACAACAAGCCGCAGTCTGAGGAGCTTTAAAAGATGGCTAGTAGATGATTCCTAATGCCTTCGTGAGGAAAATTTGTGCATAAAAGGCACCGACGTACCAACAGCCGCTTCTCTGTTGCTGCCAGCACTTCCTCCCTCATATGATGCTGATTGGTCCGAACCGCTGTGGTTTGGCCACAAGTGAATAGCTTGGAGCCTGGATTCTTGCTTGTGAGAGATCCAGCTGCTTGGCAAGGTTAACAAGTGATGTTTTCAGATAATTCATGAATAGTAATTCTCTTCCCCTTCGGCAGGGAGGTCAGAGTGTAGGGATAGCTACAGACCAAAGTCTCTGGAGATGGAAGGGATTCAGGGTCTCACTCAAGAGAGCGAGGGGGTCAGTGTTGCTGCTCTTACATGATCTCATTTAAACCACTTCAACAACCTTTAAACCTGGTTCAGTCAAAACCAAAACCCTCTGCTCAAGCCAAGTGTGATGACATCTTGAATACATGTGCGTGTACAATTTCTTGGGGCAAATGCATCTGCCAAATGAATATAAGGTAATGAAGTGGTTTTTTTTTATTTTAAAAGTTTATTTGACAGGGGTACTGCTTCTGATTAAAGGAAAAACAGAAGTATAAATGAGCCTAAAAGCTAATTTTTTTATCTGCCGTCCCTAACCAAATGTTGAAAAGGCATCAGACAAAGAAAATGGCATATCTCAGGAAATTCATATACACAATGTTAAAAAATGCACACAATAGTGCAGTACTTATCCACAAAATACATAATGCCACAATATAACACACAGTAGTTAGTTTCAATCCATTTTTAACAAGAAAGAAAGAAAAAAACAAGTTAAATCTGCTATAACCAATATATATATATATATATTAACAAAGGCTCACATAACTGTGTTTGATGAGGAAGAGGTCAGTTGTAATGATGAACCCAAAGATAATGATCACCCAATTCCTCAGTTCCCCTAAACTCTGCAGAGTTTTGTCATGTCTTTGAACTCATTGTTTTGGTTTTGCAGCCCACAACTTAACTGTTTCAGTTCAGTCTCACCGTCTCATCATTAGCATCATTTTCAGCAGCAGCAAGCAGCTGTTTTCAAGAGGCAGATAGCCCACAGCTAACTCCCCTAGTGTTAGTATCAAAGAAGGCACTGTTATAGACAGCAATGCTCACTGCTAACCCTTTTGCCTTACCTTACCTTACCTTACCTTACCTTACCTTACCTTACCTTACCTTACCTTACCTTATCTTACCTTACCTTCTTACCTTACCTTACCTTCTTACCTTACCTTACCTTTACCTTTACCTTACCTTCTTATCTTACCTTACCTTACCTTACCTCACCTTGCCTCATCTTACCTTACCTTACATTACCTTATCTTACCTTACCTTACCTTTACCTTTACCTTACCTTCTTACCTTACCTTACCTTACCTTACCTTACCTTATCTTATCTTACCTTACCTTACCTTACCTTACCTTACCTTACCTTACCTTACCTTACCTTACCCCACAGCAAGTAGCCATTCCAGCCAGTAGCATCCTCACACTTGCTTGTCACTTTAAGGGTTTATTTTAAGATTTTGATGCATAACACAAGTTAAGGAAGGCAAGTCCTTTTAGGCCGCATGAACCTGAGCATAGACTCAGTTCCCAGTCTGGATTCAAAACCAAAGCTCACCTCGTAATCATCATTTCACCATCATTTCTATAATGCTTTTTTATCTTTATTTTTATTTTTTAATTTGATATATTGTATAGATTTGGTTCTCTTGCTGTAGTGTATTTTATGCTTATGTATATTTCTGTGTTTTTTTTTGTTTGTGTGTTGTTGTTTGTTTGTTTTCTAGTCCCTGAGATAATAGATGGGAACACACTGACAGCCACTGTGGTGGACCTCAATGCCTGGGTGGAGTATGAGTTTCGGGTTTTGGCCAGGAACAGCGTTGGGGTTGGAGAACCCAGCCCTGTGTCCGTCAAGACCAGGACTGAGGACGCAGGTACAATAAATGCCATTCACTTATTTGACCGAAATCATTAAGTCTATCATCTGCGAAATGAAAAAAAGATTATACCACTACTTGTTTTTGTAAAGTGTTATAGTGTTTCTTATATGGAGGTGTGAACAAGGTCTGTGTTGTGTAGTTCCTGATGCGGCGCCAGGTGATGTGGGTGGAGGAGGCGGGAGCAGATCTGAACTGGTCATCACATGGGAGGTAAGTCATCAGTCTTATGTTCCAGCCTGTTATCCAAAGTGGCTGCAGTTAGTCTTTTTTTTCTTTTTTCTTTTTTTTTTTTTTTATTCTTGAGTGAGGTGCTTAATAATTCTCGCTAAATCAAAGCTCCCGCTCTGTTTGGCCTGTGGGTGTCATAAATTTTGGGTCAATTGAAGTCTGGCGCTGCAGTCGTTGTAATTTCTTAGTTAAAGAGTCTGCATGTAAGGCAGCAGCAATGTATACACAAGCAGAACATTGAAGCTGACAGTTATTGTCACTTGTAAGGCTTGGAAATGTGGTGAATTACTGTTGTTCAGGAAAATCCACAATGCTCAAATCAGGCAATGAAATGAGCCAGTCGGGTAGCTGAAAAATAATGTAGATATCGAAGAAGTCATTAGGTGGCCAAAGCTATCTCATTATTTGAGTTTTCTCATTTCATTAAATGCAGGAATAACTTTTCATTTTAAAAGCGGCACGAACGCTCTGTAATGAGCTTAGATTTTTTTTTAAAACGGCATTTTAATGCTCATTTCATTTCGTCAGGTGGGTCACAAAAGCAATTTGTGGGTCACGCACTTCTTTTGGCGCCATGAGAGTGAGTGGTGATTGTGTCAGCCCAGCGGTGGGGTGAACGTGAGTGGTTTGTATATGTTTTAATATCACTATAGTTTTGTGTTTCACTCTCAGCCTGTCCCCGAAGAACTACAGAATGGTGAGAGCTTTGGTTACATCATTGCTTTCCGCGCCTTCGGAGAAGTTAGCTGGACTCACGTGGCCACCTCTGCCCCCGGTGCATCACGCTATGTGTACCGCAACGACAGCATCGCGCCCTTCTCTCCATTCCATGTCAAAGTTGGCACTTACAACAGCAAAGGGCAGGGTCCTTTCAGCCCCGTGGTCACCATCTACTCTGCAGAGATCGGTAAGGCAATGAACATGAGTGGGATTTGTGCGAAGCTCCGAAGCTTTTATTTTTGTTTAAAAGGACAGAGATCATGAAAGTGATTTTACTGCTTCCACTGGGCTGAAAGTGTGTGATAAATAAAGACACATGCAAGAAAATAAATATTTAAAAAAATGAAATCTTTTTATAAGTGAAATAGCATAGAAAACAGGGGGGGGGTAGCACATTCATGTTGGGATATGCTGATTACCTCCAAATATCACCACTCTTTTGAATGGATATGCCAGAGTGAAACCCGGTTGGCATTTAGATCTATGGTAGCTCTCAACATGCTGAGAGGAGGTCAGTCTGTAGTGTAGTGTTGGTCTATTTACCAGCAGCACCTGTGTGTGATGATTCACCCAAGTAGAGATCAACAAGAATGCCGCACAGTTATAAATATAAAATTTGAAGAGATTTGTTCTGCTTGTCTCCGTGCTGTTGGAGGAAGGCAGCAGAGCTCAGTCTCCTGTTGTCTGTTTTCAGAGCCAAGTGGGATGCCAGCAGGGGTTTGGGCCAGAAGTGTCTCAGCCTCTGAGATTGAGGTGAATTGGCAGGCTCTCTCCTTCACCCCTGAAAGGGTTCTGGGCTACGAGGTACATTTTACTCTTTTAAATGGAAATAGAAATCACACACAACACAGTTCACATGCTTGTCATCACCCCTGTTGTACCTCGAAGCCATCACTTCCAAACTTTGCGTTGCCATGGAAATGGCTGTTTCAGCCAGGCGAATGTTGTAGCCAAAATTATACAGTTCTTTGTGGCAACGACAGAAAACATGTCAGAGGGTTTTTCAAGAGAACAAAAGAAAATTGCCTGTCCACATGCTGTCACTTAACGGGATATCATGATACAGAGTCTCATGATAGCCTGTGCTGCTGTACCTGTGCTATAATACCACACCAAAAACTAAATACTGCTGATAACACTGCAGCACTATGGGGGAACCGATCTTTAGTTCTGTCGTTGTTCTCTAAATAGAATAGGAATTAAACTATTACATTTTAAACCCAGAACCGCTGATTGCGTTCTCTCTCGCCTTCAAAAAGTGGGACAGCCTGATTGCTTCGTCTGCATGCTTCCCACTGAATAATCAGGGTGATCAAAGGGCTTTAATGTAAGACGTTGTTGTTATTCTTTTGCTCAGTAAAATCAAAGATGTTTCAATATTTCCATCTGGGAAAGTAAGCCTTTGTGCCATTTCATATCTGAGCTACCTCAGCAATGTCAACATCAGCAAACACTGAATAATAACGACAAAAAAGTAAATGGTGGAACTTAATCAGTAGTATTACTCTTTAAATGCATATTTTAATTAGTCAGATTTTCATCAAAGGAAAATAAATATTACATGCCATGTTGCACAAAGTAGATTGATGTATTATAGTGCTGAAGTGATTACACAATAAGTCCATTAGTTTAGCAACATATAAAATCTTGGTTGTTAATTTTGATAATTGATAAATTGTTTCAGTCATCAAGCAAAAAGGCTAAACCGCTCCGAGCTCCTCATATGTGAGCATTTTGTATTATGTATTATTGCAAGACCTTTTCTATTATTTTAATGATTAATTGATTTATCAAAAAGCAGATAAGTCAGTAGGGTAAATAATGCTTGACTTCCGCCCAGTCGTGCCTCTCTTTCGGTCGTACCTGAGTAATAGTGGAATATTCACTGGAGTTGTAAAAATACGTTCAGTCTTTGTAATGTCAGAGTCACTATCCCGCTGGAAAGTTAAAGGAAAGACTGTGATCTCTCTTCAGACGATCCACCCAGAGGCGATGATTTCACAACACCACGTTTCTCTCAAGGCATCAAAAACAACCACAAATACTGCATGCGATAAAATACATGTTGTCAACATACACGCTTTGCTCCAATCCAAATCCTCATGACAGTTAAATCCACAGTGACATGCTCTCTCTCTCGCTCTCTCTCTCCCTCTCTCTCTCCCTCTCTCAAACAGGTGGTTTACTGGGAAGACGACACTAAACCAGAGACCATGGGGAAGGTTAGGGTGCCTTGGAACCAAACCTCGGTCACGGTGAGCGGCCTGGCGGGAAACACGCAGTATTTCCTAACAGTCAGCGCCTTCAACACAGCGGGCACCGGCCCCTTCCTCCCTGCAATCAATGTTACCACAAAAAAGCCACGTAAGTAGCAGCATCATGACGCCCCACTGCTCAGGGGTCTGATTTTATATCCACACTGATTATAATTCAGAGGTGGAAACTCTGAATGGTCTGAATCAAGTCCTTCCTGTGTTGAGGCGTGTTTGCCTCCTCACATCACAGACGTCAGATGGACAGTAGAGACAATATTTATTTCTAATCTCGTATTTCTGCCATAAGAGAAATATGATGATTCCAGTATAATGATGTGACAGTAATATGTTTCTGTGCTGACATATAGAAATGATTTATTTTTATATCATGCAGCACCAGCCCAACCTCCGCTCAATGTTGAATGGACCCTAATTGGCTCTCAACTGTCTCTTTACTGGGAGCCTGTGGTGGCAATGGAATCAGAGTCTGAAGTTACAGGCTACCAAGTGAGTTTTTCTCTCTCCGTGTGCTTCAGAGTCGCATGTTTATTCCTGTTATGTATCAGACTGAGTGAAAGCATGGACCTTAACTGTGTGGTGACTCACTCTAAGCTGTCAGGCTCTGGGGATACATATTAACAATGTGTCGACCATCTTGCCCCCCCCCCCCCCCCCCCCACTCCCCTTTTAGCTGTCATACAGGAGACAGAGACACAAAGACGTAAACACACTCACAACAGCCAATTCAACAGCGGAGCTGACCCTCCCCGACGACGACGACGACTACATCATCCACATTCAGACGCTGAGTGAAGGAGGGCTGGGCCCGGCCTCGGATCCCATACGAATCCACCAATTAAGTAAGCTTGTTGTTGAGGGATCATCAAGTTCCAGCCCTTACAATAAATAATAATAATATAAATAATAGTAATATTTTCTCTTAAGTTTGGCTGGCTCATCTGGAAAATAAAAGACACAATGACTGCATGTTTCCTGTCTTCAGCTGTCGCAGTGAAATGTGTGGGTGCCACCATATTCCAGAGGACCAGAGACGAATTGCAAAATTTAAGATAAAGATTCAGCCGGGCCTCAATCTTTCAGAGCATCTATTTCTTTATTATTTGCCCACTCTTGTGAATGAAGTCACTTAACACTTTTTAAACCTGACAGGGACATTTTGTCCTCTGTTGACTCACCGTTACTTGTGTCCCCAGCCACCCCTGTTGGGTTCTTCCAGCCTTATGTTTTGCTGAAATATGCAGCACAATCCATCTCTGTCGCAGAGGTTGACTTCCTCTTTTACTAGATGCTATTACTGTCCTGTGGGAAACCAGCGGGGTGGGGGGGGGTGGTCTTCTTCTGCTCTAAATGCTAATTTGCATTGTTGATATTCTGTGTTGAATCCCTGAAAACAGCAGTTGAGAGAGATAGATTTCCATGCTGGCTTTTCTTTTAAATTTCATTTGAAAAATAGGCTCCTTTTTTCTCCCAGAGATTCTTTGGATATTGCAAACAAAAATATGTGGGCAAAGCACATTAGCAGGCAAAAGAGAGTGCTTTGTTTACAGACACTAGTTGCTGGGAAACATCAGAAGTGGTTAGGAGGTTTCTTATGCATCAGTAATATATATTTTTATGCAGGAAATGGTTTAATATGGATTTTATGTCATTACAGGAAAGCAGTCAGAGATCTCTAAAGAGCTAATTGACTCACTTAAATCATACATGAGAAACTAATGATCAGAGCAAACTGCATTAGGCTTCTGGTCCCCTTACATCCAGCTCCCTTAATACATTTTTTACTTACAATCACAGAGACAAGCCAGGACTTAAATGAGTTTTTAAGTACCCTTGTGAAACATAAGTTTTATGTTTTGGAAAGCCAAGTATTTAATTTTCAGCAAATCTGTTTTCACTTGTATCCACAGGTAACAGGGTGCTGAAAGTTTAAGATAAGAGTATTTCAGATGGATGTCCCAAAGTGTTGGTGCTGCTGCCTCCAGCAGGTTTCAACATCAGTTTATCATGTTTTTTTTTTTGTTCATTTTTGTTTGTGTGTTTTGCTTGTGTGTGTGTGTGTGTGTGTGTGTGTGTGTGTGTGTGTGTGTGTGTGTGTGTGTGTGTGTGTGTGTGTGTGTGTGTGTGTGTGTGGGATCCAGGTATGAGTGCCCGTGGCTCGAGAGCCTGGAGTGTGGACATCTCCCCCCTCTCCCTGCTCCTCGCCATTGCAATATCAACATTGAGGTCAACGTCGTGACACAGTGACAGACTCTGCTCTTTTTCAACGTTCAGTATTGGTATTTTTTTTTTTTTTTTTTTTTTTTAATTTGTGAAAATTGCCAACTTTTTTTTTTCTCTCTTTTTTCGGAGGTGACACCGTACAATTTTGCAGTGTTAGTTTGCAGGTACGAAACAGCACAAGAATGGAGCGTGCTGTCAGATACTTGCTTAACAGTAAATGCTTGAGCTTTTTTCTTCTTTTTTTTTTCTTTTTTTTTTTCTTTTTTTTTTTTACATGGGTCTGTTTTGACATTTTTGCTGGTTGGGAACAATGCTCCATTTCAAGTCTTTTTTTTTTGGACTAGAATGATACAGATGCCTTACTTCCATTCATGTGCCAAAGTAGTTTCAGCCTTCTTGTTGTTATTGCAAAGATAGCTACATGCTTTCCTCAACATTTTACTCCTCACAGTTTCTTATTATTGAAGCTCTCAGTGTACCGTGCAGAGGGCCGTGATAAGAAGTTGTATTTTGTATTTTTGAATATTTTCAGTTTAACTCTCTATATCTGAATTGGCGAGCAGGAACATGTTCATTCGCCCGTGCCCGTGCCTTTGGAGATTCTTGTAACGGCGCCACTTATTGACTCTAGCCAATGATACTTAGTGTTTCAGGACATACTGCAGCAATCCTCATCTTTACGTGCTCCATTAAAAGTTGGTTGTGCCCCAGATGAAACTCATAAAATAGCCCACAGTGCCAGTGTTAGCCATTTACCTTCTATCATTTGATTGTGGAAAGCTGAATGTACCACGAGGGTTCCTGAAGGTTTTAAAGCCTCAGACCAGTTATTGTGATAGCCCGCTGATTGATGGATTGGACTTTACTCTGCATTTACAAAGATTACATTTGCCTGTATACAGCAGTATTGGGAGAGGTATACAGCAGCAAGTGCATTTCCTTCAACGCTAGTGCTGAAACAATCAACAGAAAATAATCAACAGCAATCATTTAAGTCATTTATCAAAGAAAGATTGCCAAACATTCACTGGTTCCAGCTTCTCAAATATGTGCATTTGCTTCTTTTCTCTGTTTTAAACATAGGGTATTAAAACCCAGCAAGGTGCACGTTCCATTACAATCTATTTGCCTCCACAGGATCCGCCTTGGAGGGTATTATCCCGCTTTATACCATAGCCACTTTCCAAAAAACTGCTATATGTCATCAAAATAAAAATATCAGTCATTCAATTACTTACATAACATCTCAGTTTTCTGCTGTTACAGTGATATCATGAAATACAGAGTAATACCTGTATCTTAAAACTGCTGCTGCAGCTCAGCAGCACACAGCTGATAGCAGGCAGACGGCACTTTTCACAAAGCTGGGCTAAGTGTTTGAGCCTGGTTCCACACCTTCTCTAGCGTGAAGTGAAACAAAATCCTAATTCATATTACATCATGTAATATCAGGCTATAGTCGAGTTCAAATCTTTACTAACTCTGAAATCACATTTAGAGTTAAATGAGAAGATCAATACCACTCTCACATCTGCCCGATAACTATGGAGGTAAAGCCAGGAGTCGATTAGCTTAGCATAGCATAAAGACTGGAGGCAGCTAGCCTGGCTTTGTCCAATGTTCACAAATACGCCTACCAGCACCTACGAAGCTCTACTAATTAACACGCTGTTTCTTTGTTTGTTGAATCAGTAAGGGGCCAGCATACTTCATCAGAACTGCTTGTGGGATTGTCGGCTCCACAGTTAATGCAGAGACATGAGAGTGGTATTGATTTCCTCGCCTGACTCCCAGCAGGAAAGCGAATAAGCACATTTCCCAAAATGTTGAACCATTTCTTTAAAGAGTAATTTCAGTGAATGCACCCAAATCACAAAATAGCACAGTGAAAATACGAGAACGGGGAATAGCAGGTTCAGTTTTTGAATGTGTGAGTCCATCCTTGACGTCTGGAAAAATAACCTAAACTCAAGATCCACTTACTAGTTTTATCCAGAGCTTTCAACCATACACTATAAAAGCAAATGAGGTGTTTGCTCAGTTGTCAGGGATTATCACGAGACCCAAGTTCCTTACTTCAGTCACCTGACTGTGGTTATGTCAGCTGGACCAACTCTATGAGCAAACTCAACATTTGCTGATGAAGACTGTGAGATGTGATTGAAAGCACAGCTTCAAATGGACTTTGAGTTAAGATTATTTTATCAAACCAGCCAAACATTAGTGCATTCATTTATAATACCAAACAATTAGGTGCCAAAAGTGTCTGGTAATGGTTATCAAGCGTAAAGAGACACCTGCCCAGCCAATCAGAATCCAGAATCCTCAGTGGTCATGGTATATAGTCAGTCTTTTAGTTTTAGACTTGCTAAAGCCATTGGTTGTATATAAAGATGGACAACACGTCTCCACTTCCTCCCACTTTACAAAAATGAAGCCAAAATACCCCAGACACTGGCGCTGCCATCTTGCACTGGTGATGTCATTAGGAGCCACAGTCTGCGCAGTAGTGATCAGGATCCCACCCACCAACTCAATCGAGGGTCAATCCCACCGTCAATCATTACATCACACCCCTTTTTATAGCGTCAAATAACTTAATTCAAACCAAACTGAGGAGAGAAATGACCACTTGAACATAGAAATACCTAAAATGATAAAAAACAAAACAAGCAATTTGAAAACGTCACCTTGGCCACTGGGAAGTAGTGATGCACATTTCTCACTCTTTTGAGACATTTTAGAAACTGAACTATAAATAGGAAATACAACTGTCTGATCCATCAATAATGAAAATAATCATTAGTGGCAGCCTTAGACTGCATCCATCTGGGCAGTGCACAGCTAGTGCCAGTCAACGTGTATCATCAGTCATTACAGTCAAGACAAGAGGTTTAAAGTGCTGCCGATTGTGCCAGTCTGATAATTGAAATCTAGCCACCAGCTTAGGCGTTACTTGGCAAAATGTATGGTCAGCTGTGTTTTAATAGTTTGTGATTCTGTTCTTTGTTGTCAGTTGTATTGGGCTTTTTTTTATGTGGTATGTGTTGTCATTGTTCATTTATGTATTTCAGCGTAACCTCACTGCTCAGGTATTCAGACCTGCTTCACCCTATCTTTCAATCGCTGTAAAATGGCTGGAGCAGATAGATCAGAAATCTGTCAGCACAGAACACAAAGCTCTATTTAACAGTGTGACTTGACAAATGGAAAGCCTGACATGTGCCATGATTTAGCAGACATTAAACCATCTTAATAAATTAGAGCAGGCCTGAGGGGCTTCTATGGGAGAAGGCATAGGAGTAATGGTACTAATGACACCCACACAAGACTAATATATCAGGATTTTGGGAGGACTAAATCAGGACAATCCCATCAGGATGAAACGAGGAAGATTCAAGTGTGTGTGTGTGTGTGTTTTGTTTGTTTCTGAGCATGCATGTGCGTGGTTATTCCCTAACCCACGGTGTCATGGGGAAGTCTTTTCAAGAAGACCGTACAGCTAAAAAAAGAAAAAAAAAATTTATGTGCTTAGCCATAGTTCAGGGCTTCGAGCAACTGAAAGCTTTGCGGACATTCAAATAGAGTAATACGAGGTCAGTATGGGAGGTTGAAATGTCATTTTTTCTATCAAATTGCAAAGGATTGCCGGTGCAAAAGAGCAAGTGGGAAAAAAGCTCCACAAAACCAAGGCCAGGTCAGGTGCACCTTGCGAGATAAAATTTGTATTACATGTGAAGACAAAAGGTTTTCTTCCCTGATGAGTGTTAATACCTTTCTGAAAGCAGTCTTTGAATCCTGTTATGTTGTTTTTGTGGCTTTATGTGTGGTTAATCTGTATCCATTCTTTCATCACAGAATGTCATTGTTAAGCTAACAGGTGTTTACACAGGAAATGCATCTTTCCAGCTGATTTATTGATTATATAAACTGAAAAAAGACAACATTACACAGTTTATGAACTTGTGTCTTGGGAAGCATTGCCAGCCTCTTTGTTTTGTAACGTATCAGTACTGTGGAGATGTTTTAACTTTGATTTTCTCTCTTTTTTAATGTTTGCTATGGTTCCTGATTGTTTAATTCATTTTTTCTTCCAACAATTCTGCACAAAGGTCAAGTGTTGATTTAAAATAACAATTAAGAGCCCCCAACTCGGAGACCAAATTGTGGTGTCACACTTCCAATTCTAATTCTCAGTCAAACCCAGAATTTGAAAAAAAAAAAAAAGGAAAACAGGAGCTGCTTTCACACACAGCCTTTTGGTGCAGTGACACAAACGCTGCCTGTTACAAGGTAGTCAGCCAGTGCACAGTTTGTCTTTTTATACCAATGCAACTTTACAATTTTCTTGCTACTTTCAGGATTAGAAAAGACAGAATTGATCATAAAATTAAAAAAAAAAAAAAAAAAAAAAAAGAGTTACCTATAATTTGTAATTCCATAAGGATTATTGATAAAATACAATTACAGCTCTGGGTGACAACGCTTGGCCTTTCTGTTATGACTCCTCAGTATTTTGATGTCCAGGTGATCTCCGTGAGATCGTGGCATAAACGTTTTCACATTGAAAAGACATCAGCTGATCTTGATATGCTGAAGCTGTGCATGTATGATATCGTTTGGTGCATTTGTGTTTTCTAAAATGAGGGAGTTAATAAAAACAATTCACTGAGGATTTTGTCTTGGATTCATTTTTTTTAATTATGTGTGTCATTTTCAGCATCAGCAGTTTTAGTGTCTTCTACTGCAGGAGGAATTTGAGTGGTGCCTTGGGGCACCATCAAAGCTATAAAATGCATAATATTTTTGAAAAAGCATAAAAATGAGCGTAAATGGCAACGGTAATGTCCTATTCAGTGGATAAAGAACACATTTGCAAAGGCTTTTGCTGCATATTCTAATTGTTTTATAATAAGGACTATCATCACAGAGAATCAAATGTTTTGAATACTAACATCACGTGAAATACCTTAAAGAACACATAGTCTAAAACTAACGTCAAGCAATTGGCTTTGA